GCCTCGCTCCGCACACCGGGCCATCCCCGCGGCGCCGGGGGGTTGGGTGGGAACCCTGGGAGTTGAGGTCCAAGCATCTTAACGTTGCTGAGGTTGAGAAAGACTGTTATAGGGTGATTCTATAATAAAATAATTTGCATTCTCTAGATGTGAGCTTGGGATAGCACTATTAAATATTCCGTGATATGCAGCCCACTGTTGCGGTAACCTTGTTGTTACCAAATATCCACTGTCGGTTGATTTGTGAATATTCTCCCCGGTGAACATTCCCTTAAACTCAGCCGCCTTTATGGAAAAACACAGTTCGATTTTGGTTGTGTCCTGTTTTATTAAATTAAACCCACCCACACCCACCCTTGAACAGTAACCCATTTCTGAAATAAACAAGAAATAATGCGAACGTGATAAATGAAGAGAAGACACAGAAATGCATAAATATCCTTAGGATGATGGGGATATCCAGCCCACCTGTTCTGCAAAATAAGCCAAGCTGGGGGGGGGGGCGGGATGGTCAATGTGCGCTTTAAACGCACTATTGGGAAGGGTGGGGAGAAGAAGATTGATCTTTAACAGAAAAGGTTGCCTATGCTGATAAGTGCTAATCTTTCACACGTGCAGAAATATTGATCGAAAGAAATCTATCAGGAATTAGTAGAAGGCAAGCCCGTTGGTCTGAATGCCACTTACTTCTGGGTAAACATGTTTTGCAACTTAGCTGCACAGTGAGACCTCTGAGCATCTTAAGTCAGGACTGGTAGCAGCTAAGGGTGGATCAATACCATCTCCTTGCCTAGTTCGTATAAACTGACATCCTTTCCCTATAAAGGCTCTTGGGAATAACTGGCAAGACGCTGAGAATCCTCCACTATCCTGCAGATGTGCCTGTATGCTTCTGCGTTGGCTGTTAGAAAAGTGGCTGCTGAGGATTTCATTGGTAAGGGTTGGCGCTTCAGTTGTGAGAAATGGAGAGCGGAGCGCCAATACATAATGCTTGGGGTCTTTAGCTAATGAATGCTATTCGTGTATCGCAGTAGGGAAGAGTTCAACTTGCCTACTGGGCTATGCAGGTCATTTCTGGAATGAACAGAGCTCAGTCCTGCAGTTTATCATATTGCTATTTTCTTTCTACAAATAATACCACTCAGGTGACAGTTTCCAAAACTTCGTTCCATCCCTCATGGAAGAATTCTAGAAAACCATAAGATAAAAATGGGTTGGCCGCTACTGCTAACGGAACAAGTAGAGGGACTTGGAGAAAATAAGGAACACTGTTTTAGAGTTGTATTTTGTCTTTCGCATGGTACACAACACACAGAGACACACACTATTCTCCCTGCCTGTTCATCCATCATGGATGCCACCTTTTCACATCTCTGGTTTTTTTGCTTCCTGCCCAACTTGGAAGCCCCTATTTTTCCTTGGGGTTGTACTGAATGAGGTTCATTATTGCTTCATTCTTCATCACTCCGTCAATAAACTCCTTTTCAGCAATTTTATCTGCAAAAACAAAACAACCCAAGGTGTACAATGAAATGAATATTTAGATAGTGTGAGATATGAGGAAGGAATCAGTTGAGAAGAGGAACAATTAGGGTTAATTGGTAACAAGCAGAAGTTAGGAGATACATAATGCAAGTCATTTAAATACTTTATGGCCCAGATTATCCTTTCCTATTTTATCTTTAATTTTTTAAAAAAATATGTCCTCCTGAATTTTAAATCAGTACAGAACAAGGGATGGCAAAATGGGCAGCAGGAAGGTGGTAGAGTTCTGACAATATCTCTTGGACTGGATGTTACAAACACATTCCTGTATTAATTTGTGAACATTTGGGAGGTTATGAAACTAGGGCTACCATACCTGGGCTGCAAACTTTCAGGCAGCCACTAGATGGCAGCAAAGCATTAGCGTTTTCTGCATCTCTTTGCTGCTATCTACTGGTCCTTCAGATTCCTGCACCCCAGTTAAGGTAGCCCTGATCATTGTTGCTGTATTGGAGAAAGGCAATGAGAAAAGGTGTAAAAATAGGTAACCTTTCAAGATGGAGAACTCTTCCCCACTTTTCCATTCCATATTACACAAATGTTACATGTAACTCAGAAGTAGGCCTATTTTAAAAAATGGTTGAAGCTAGTTCTGTAAATATTTTTGGAAGAATTAGTAACAGTGGATGACATTCAGACTAATTTGACTGAAAATATACTGGTGGGGTTCACACATTACACGAAATTATAATATGATCCCTTTGATTTGGAGTAGTGAATTGCATGAAGCCAGCTCCTCTAGTTTGTTAACCATACTCTATAGCTTAACCAGCCAACTGTGGTTTAACCATGGTTAAGAAACCAAGTTGTTACATACAATATGAGAACTAATCATTGACTGTCCATGATTTCAACAGGACTAGATAGGCCAGAATAGGTTTTTATTGTACAACCCTAGAAATTTATGGCAAGGTGAGAGAGATCCAGTGTGTCTTTTTTGATCTTGCAAGATAGAGAACACTAATGTCTTGCTTTATGTACGGCTACAACATTGTAGGATTGGTGTAATGTAGGTGTTGGATTAGGGCTGGGAAGACCCTGACCCCCAAAGTAACTTGCCTTGAGCTGTTATAGAATACGTATACATTATATATTTTATATGTATAAATTCTATAATCAGTAACAATAAATAGTAGGGGTGGGAGATGAAAGGCAAATTTACCAGTATCTCCCTTGTTAAAATATGCCCACAACTTGTCAGCCCGTTTCTGGGGGGTGTTTTCATCCTCAGGCAAGACCTTCTGTTCCTCTGGAGGGATCATCTTAAATATTGCCTGGCAGAATAAATGGAAACAAAAAAATATAGTCATTCTTTCTACGCAGCAAAGCTTTTTGATATTCCAAGTCACTGCATAGAATACCTGGAGCAATGGATTCTCAGCTGTAATGGATGGTCTCCTACCAGAGTTTTGGAAGCACCAGGAATCCTGTCCTCAGCATCTAATCCATAGCTCCTGGTCCTACATTGGCCCATATTCTCTAAACATCTACGGTCCCCATGGATAAGATGTCTGGATGTAATCAGAGTGTTCGGTTTGCAAATAGCTGCCTTATTCAGGGACTGTAAAGCTTGGGGAATCATCTAAAAGGACAAGTAAATTGGAGAGGAACAGAAGGTAAAAGGCAAGTGTGGAAAAAGGAGGGGAGACTGGGTGGCTCACTATAGGAAAATAATGGTTGGACACTTTACAAACATAGAAAAGTGCAAAGGAGGGAATTTTTAAAATCACATTTATATCCCCGTGTTTGCAGCGCAGACACAGCAAACTCAGGGAAGGAAGTGCTTGCTTTGTACCCCTGTGTAGTCGTCTTGCATGAGTAAGAATTCCCGGCAACTGCAGTGAGATTCCTGGCTGAGTATGGATTCAAACTGGGATTGTCTTCACTCAAATTTAGTATAATTACCATACCAGACTGTTCAGAAGCAGATGCCTTTGAGTCAGGCGTGGTTTCTGGTGACTTCATTGGCATGACTTGTGGTTTCCAGGGCACCATTATGGAAGTGGTTTGCCATTGCCTTATTCTGGTATGTTGAGTTCCCAGGGTAGCTTTGTGACTTCTTGGTTGGTCACCCATTCAAATAAATACCTAGAGAAGGTATACTAGTTTATAGTTGAGTTAGGGAACCTGTGACTATGGAAGTATTGGCCTAGAGTTCTCATCAGATCCAGCGAGTATGGTCAACATCTGGAGAACCTTAGGTTCCCCACCTCTCACTTTAGCACGACTATATCTAGTAGTCCTGCTTATTTAGTAATGAAACCAGCTTCATGTGAGTGGACTGATAGGAGCTTTAGCAAGTGTACCATATCTGGGCTGCAAAAATCCAGATGTTCACTAGACGGCAAATAGTCCAGATATGATATGCTTAAAGTAGAAGAGCATCAATGAATCCATAGGAACATATCTGTGTATTTTGACTTACAGCAGGCCTCTTCAACCTGGTATCCTTCAAATGTGTGGGAATGCAATTCTCATAATTCCCAGCCAGCAAGATGGCCAGCTCTATAGTTACATCATGGCTATTACTTCTGCTAATTATCTCTGTGCTGAAGCCCATAGAATCCTGGAATGATGTCTGGTGCATTTGGAAGAGAAGGTTGATTTGGTTCAGCCTGTTCAGCAAGGCCTTTTTCTTCCTGCAAACTGTATCTAGATGCTGAAGTAGGCTGATCAGCTAGGGCTGGCTCACTGAAACTTTTCCCTTGCAGCCAATTACCAATAATTGGTTCTTGTATGATACAGTCATGATAGGCAGGTGTGGTCCTTCAAGTGTTGGCCTACACCTCCCATCATCATTCATCTATCTCCTGGTAGGAGGTAGAATTTTAGAATCTGGAGGCCCATCCACTCTGTGATGCCCCCTGTTTTTCTGCTATTCATCCATAAGACCACGTCAAGGTTATCAAGAGGTGGAGCATATCTATTTAGGATCTTGGGTTTGTTGCCTCTTAGTTATGTCTCACTGGAAGGGCTGGGGGCTGTTTAGCATGGGGTCCCTCTAAGTGGCTGGTAACGTAAGAACCTAAGTGTTAAGAAGGATTCATCTTGTGAACTTTATTCTTGCCTTCCATAGCTGGTCACCCTCCAAGTACATTGGAAACAGAGTTCTTGAAATGTCCATCTGACCATGCTGGTTCTGGAAATTCTCTGGATTTACTTGGAACACATCAGGAGAGCATTGAAGGCCAATTGTCATGAGCAAAAGCAAGACGCTGATAATATCCTACTACTGGGCTGCACATCTGAACGCTAAGGTCACCCAAGTTCATATCAAATCTTATTTCCGTTTATCCCAGATTGAGCGTATAAACCCTTCTCTGATGGAGATTTAAGATCCCCGACCTTCAATCTCCCTGAAAAATACTGCATCTTTTTAGAATTCCCCGGCTGGCATTGCCAACACAAAATCTGCTGGGCTGCTTATGTATTTGCTCTGGTGTTTGTAAAGACTATTGGATCTAATCCTGTGTTTTTGATGAAGCGGTCTTATCATACAAAAAATAAATAGGTTTTTCCACATTTACACACACGCACCCCTGCCCTTCTTTCTCTGCCTCTCATTTGTTCTGATAGAGTTGCTAATTTTTAAACTTTTTATTTGCCTTCCTTTCTACGCTTTGAATTACAGCCTGACACATACAAATTAAGCAGATCAGGTTGTTTCCTTCACACATTTCTATGCCGTTAAGCCTTTTATTTCTGGATATTAAATGCCTGCTGATAAAGGCACAGGAACAGAAACAGGTAAGTGTCAACGAAGCTCACCACTTGTAGAGAGTAAGGAAGATGACCTTGACCGAGTTGACGGAGTTATGCCAGTTCCATTGCCAAGGCGACGAGGGGCAAAACTTCTTTTAAGTCCACAACAAACAGATAATATTTGGAAGAGGTTCAGACAGACACCTCCCTAATTCACTGGACTATACGTAGTAGGAGGGGGTAAAACATAATCGGACTTGCAAGATTCTGTTATTGTAGCCATTCTCAATAAGTCGTTTCAGCCTTCCTGTGGAGTTGATTTCATGGTCTGGTCTACCTAGAGGGGCTAACATCAGTCTTCCCTCCAACAACAACCCTGTGAGGTGGGTTGGGCTGAGAGAGAAAGAGGCCGGGCCAAAGTCACCTATTTGGTTTCTTTGCCTGAGGGAGAATTAGAATTCCTAGTTGCTAATTGGGCATCGTGTAACTAAAATGCGTGCAATTATGTTCTTTCCTGAACAGTCTTCATTGCTTGAGGTGTTCTATATACGTATACAGATCCTATATGTACTGTGCCATAAACCTCTAGGACTTATAAACTTATTTGGATTGTTATAAACCACAGACTCTGTATAGAATTCATTCCTTCTAACACCAAGGAGACAATACGCTTCTAATTAAGAGTGGCTAAGGGCTATGAATTTCATCTTCGCTTTTCAAAGCCAAGTTCCTAGTGCTTGTGAGTTTTGAGGGGACCAGCTGAAGATATGTCAACAATTTCCACTGATGGGTGACATTCATCAGTTCATAATCAGATCCAAAATTTGCAAATCCTACCAAGAAAAAGATGCCTAATTGATAAAAACTGGTTTTGTTGTGGTTTCATAATGTGGACTTTGGGTTTAGAAAATTTGGGATTTTTAAAGTGCAATATTCATGCACCCACTCCTTCCCACCATATTAATAAACTAATGTACAGGATGAAGCTGATGTTGCATTAAAATTAAACAAAACTTAGGTTCAGCCAAGCAGGTGATAAATGTGTGGAGTTCTGGAGACTGACTACTGCCCAGCCTAATTGTTCCATCTATAAAATGGGAGCAATTTAGGCCTATCTTAAAAGCAGTGTATCTTAAGAGAATACTTTATTCTTAGTTAGGATCTGCTTTGGGGTCTTTTGCTAGACTGAGAGGCAGATATATAACAAATACATACCCTATTGTGAAATTCTTTGGTTCCTTTCCTAGTGTTTAACCTCCCCCTTCTCCCTGTTTTCATGTAAGCCATTTCTTGAAAATGTTTTAGGCATGCTGAAGGCTGAGAAGCAGAAAATACTGGACAGAGGTGCCTCCAAGATTTTACTGCTCTCCCCAACCTTCCATTCCAGGTATCCTGTACATTGCACAACTGATCCTCTTTCCAACTGCACATTCTTCATTTCTTCTATCTATCTATCTATCTATCTATCTATCTATCTATCTATCTATCTATCTATCTATCTATCTATCTATCTATCATCTTAGTATTAGCAAGAAGCCAATTTGGGCTTAATATTTATTGTATTTTATTTATTGCATTTATATACCACCAGATGCAACAAAAATGACTCCTGGTAGTTTATAATATAAAAACATAAAAGCCAATAAAAAACATTTTCAAAAACCATAAGGCAGTAAGTGCAATAGTGACTAACCTTTGGGAGCCACTAACGGACTTGCTTTTTCACTGAAGAATTTTTGCAAGAAGTGATTGATTCAACCTACTTGTTTGCATTGAAAAAAAGGAGAGGAAAGGTAGTTACAGAACCACGATTTCCCAGTCTGCTCTGCTCCGCTGCACCCTTAGAGCATTCATGGGGCACCTTTTGCAGATCCTGCAACAGATTCGTTTAACCTTGTGGCAACTAATTTGGCTTTTTCCACGGCTGAATAAATTGCTCTTGAGTCAAAACGAGTGTCCTCCTTAATGTACTTTAGAAGGGGTCTCAAAGCTTACTTGTTTTCTCAGGTATTTTAATGTCATTGTTTTAGCATTTTTATGGATTATGGTTTAATGTTTATTCTTTAAAAAAAGGTTTTGCTCTACCTTGTAACCCACCTAAGAGCTGATAAAAACAAATGTAGCCTAAAATGTGTGTGTGTAAGCATGCAAACGTGCACGAAAAAGATTCTGGATGGAGGAACAAAACAGGCAATTTAGTTTGTTGTTAATCTGGAGTCCCATGTGTCTACCAATTGGGTATAATCGTTGTGATAGAAAACCTCTGGCTAAGCTGAGAGGAAAAAAGGCAACCCACTCTAAAAGCTACATTTTGCACACTCTTTGTTTTGGAGAGCATGTTCCCTTCAGTTTAAAGACATCTACAGAAAGTAAAAAGTTTGCTATAAAGTAAGTAAATACAGGGACGTCTGAATGAAAACAGAATTGTTCTTGCAGAATGTGTCTGAGATGTCCTGTGCTGCTAATGGATAGAAGAACAGGTCTGTCCACAAATATCATTTGTTATGAGAACTAGCAAATATTTTGAGGGCCAGTTTGGGGTCATGATTAAAAGCACTGGGCAACCAGGAGACCATGAGTTCTTGTCCTGCCTTAGGCACAAAGCTAGCTGGGGTCTTGAGGCCAGGCACTCACTCTCAGCTCTAGGAAGAACAAGGCAGGGGTAAACCACTTGTGAAAAATGTTGCCAAGAAAACTCCATGGGCTGGTCTGGGCAGTCGCCAGAGTCAAGATGGACTTGAAGACCAACACACACACAAAGGATAACAAAAGGATCTAGTGTTATCTTGGAGAATCTTGTTTCAGGATCACTTCTGCATCAGGCTGCAGCCGTACTTTGACAGAAGGAGATGAAACAAAGGGTCGAAATAGTTTCAGCACTGACACTGGGAATTTGCTCTGTGCCCTAAATCAATGGGTTTGGTATTGTGACCTCAGATGGGAAAGGCCACTAGAAGATTGACTAAGGCCTTGTATTTTAGTTTAAGACTGGGGACCACAGCTAGACACACTCTGAAGGAATACAAAACATTTTCCTTGAAGTAGAAAACTCTCAGAACTTGGAAGAAGCTGGACTTGCTGGTCCCAATTGTGGTTGCTAAATGAGGACTAC